TGGTAGGCTGAGGTGAGAGGATCACTTAAGCCCAGGAGGTCGAGGCTACAGTGAGCCATGATTGCACCACTGTACTCCAGCATAAGTAACAGAGTGAGACTGTGTCTTAAAAAACAAACAAAAACTAAAAACAAAAACAACCCACAAAACGATTCTATAAAATAGAGAAAATATGACACTTCACGGAGTTTTTGTGAAGATTAAATCAGGGGTTAGCAAAATAACTACCCGAGGGCCAAAATCTGCTATGGTCTGTTTTTGTAGGTCCACCAGATAAGAATGGTTTTCATATTTTCAAAGGGTTGTAACAAAAACAAAAACTAAATTAAACTTAAAAACAACGCAAAGAGTAATATGCAACAGACTAATATGCAACAGTCATCTGCTAAGCCTAAAATATTTATTATCTGGTTCTTAACAGAAGAAGTTTGCAGACCTCTGGATTAAAGGAAGAAAGAAACTTGAAAATAATTGGCACACTGAGCTTAACACACAGGAAACACTTAGAAAAGGTGGAATTTCAGGCCGGGCGCAGTGGTTCATGCCTGTAATCCTAGCACTTCAGGAGGCCGAGGCAGGCGGATTGCCTGAGTTCAGGAGTTCAAGACCAGCCTAGGCAACACAGTGAAACCCCATCTCTACTAATATACAATAAATTAGCTGGGCGTGGCAGCAGGTGCCTGTAGTTCCAGCTACTCGGGAGACTGAAGCAGGAGAATTGCTTGAACCTGGGAGGCAGAGGTTGCAGTGAGCCGAGATCACGCCACTGCACTCCAGCCTGGGTGACAGAGCGAGACTCTGTCTCAAAAAAGAAAGAAAAGAAGGGGAGGGGAGGGGAGCGGAGGGGAGGGGAAAGGAGAGGAGAGGAAGAGGAGAGGAAGAGAGGAAGAGGAGAGGAAGAGGAGAGGAGAGGGTGGAATTTCACTCCAAAAAAGAGAAATTTTCTGGGAGTGATTTAGTCAGAAAAGGATAAATGGAAATTTGGCACATGGGGCAAAACATATGGGATTCCTAGAAGATGTACATTTTACTATCTGATCTTTCCCCTGTGTTAGTTGGCTTAGGCTGCTGTAATGAAATACCTGACTGGGATCTAAGCAACAGACATTTGTTTCCTCCCAGTTCTGGAGGATGGAAGTCTGAGATCGAGGTGTTGGCAGGGCTGGTTTGTCTTGAGGCTTCACGCCTGAGGCTGCCTCCTCTCTGTGTCCTTACCTGGTCTTTCCTCCGTCTGGTGTCCCATCGTGCTTCCATATCTCACAATTTCATTTTGTTTGTTTGATTTTTTTTTAAATTTTTATTATTTTTTTTTTGAGATGGAGTCTCGCACTGTCGCCCAGGCTGGAGTGCAGTGGCGCAATCTAGGCTCACTTCAACCTCCGCCTCCCTGCTTCAAGAAATTCTCCTTCCTCAGACTCTCAAGTAGCTGGGATTACAGGCGCCTGCCACCACGCCCAGCTAATTTTTTGTATTTTGGTAGAGATGGGGTTCCACTATGTTGGCCAGGCTGGTCTCAAACTCCTGACTTCGTGATCCGCCCACCTTGGCCTCTCAAAGTGCTGGGATTACAGGTGTGAGCCACCGCGCCCGGCCTGGGTCTCACATTTTTATAAGGGCACTTGTCAGATTGGATTAGGTTCCTCCCTAAAGGCCTCATTTTAACTTACCTCTTTAAATGCCCTGTCTCCAAGTAGTCACATTCTAAGGTACTGGGGTTGAGGGTTTCAACATATTAATTTGTGGAGGAAAGAAGTCAGCCCAAAACACTCTCCGTAAACATTAATATTTACCAATGCTAATTCTTTTATTTTAAAAAAGTAACTTTTTACTAAGAGGTGCTATAATTGTGTGACAATGGGAAAAGGCTAGTCTGGTTTTAGGGTACCTTTAAATGGCGGGCATCTCGGCCGGGCGCGGTGGCTCACGCCTGTAATCCTGGAATTTTGGGAGGCCAAGGCGGGCGTATCACTTGAGGTCAGGAGTTCGAGACCAGCCTGGCCAACACGGTGAACCCCCCCGTCTCTACTAAAAATACAAACATTAGCTGGGCGTGGTGGCGTGTGCCTGTAGTCTCAGCTACTTAGGAGGCTGAGGCAGGAGAATCGTTTGAACCCAGGTTTTAGGTTGCAGTGAACTGAGATTGTGCCACTACATTCCAGCCTGGGTGACAGAGGGAGACCCCATCTCAAAACAAAAACAAAAACAAAGAACAAATAAATGGCAGGTAGCTGTACCTTCCCTAAGGTGGGAGAAACATTAGCTGCACCCCAAGTAGCCCTGTGCTCCCATATTTCCCAGCCTCTTGCTCACAGACAAGGCAGTATGACCAGTTCCAGCCAACGGGCTATGGGAGAAGTGATGAGCCCCCTCACAGAGCGTTTAAGGGACAGTGGAAATCTCTAGAGCTGTGCCTTCCTGTGCCGGAGCAGACAAAGATGTTTCATTTTGAGTGGACAGAGCCACAAGCTGGATGTAGTCTGGATCCCTGAGTCACCATATGGAAGACAGCCATTTTGAACTCCGCCCAGCCTCATAAAAATATTGTAAGAAATAAACCTTTATTGGGCAAGTCATAGAGATTTGGAATTTAATTTGTGATCATAGCAAAGCCTAATCTGTCTAGCACACTGGTTGCCAGAGGTGGTGAGCACTGAACACTGATGAAGGAGTCAGGGGAAGGCATTCTCATCTCAGATCTGCCAAGAACTTCACTGCCCTACTTTCGGCAAGAAGACTTGTTCCCAATATAGGCTTGCAATTTGCCCTTTCCAGCTGGCTATGGTAACAAGACTAGAAAGAACACATTTAAAAAAAATTATAGAGTTTAAATGTAAACCAAAGCCTTTGCTTTCAAAATAGCTAATGGCCCATCTTCCAAGTAGGAAATACAAAGAGTTGAGGCCCTGAAGTGAGACCCGTTTATTTTTTTCACCTGTAAACGATACAGCTTCCTGGCATTCTCCTCTCTTCAATGTGCCATCTTTACGTTTTAAACCACTCAACTCCAACTGATCCTCGAGTTTGCTCCACATAAAGCTATTCTATCCTTCCAGAATTGGTTGCCCCAAATGCCTCATTATTGGAACACCACCAGCTCAGATGTGGATACCTGTGGAGGGGACTGCAAATTCTGAAATGTTCCTCACCTTCTCTTCCAATGCCTCCTCAGCTTTCTCCCCTGACCCCAGTCCCTTAGTGCCCACAGACATCAACTCCTAGAGATAACTGTGTGTCACAAAATCATGTCTGGAGAGAAGAAGTACAAACATATACCCCATTTGTCTTTGCAACCAGATGTCTGGAAAGCTCCCTTGACAGAAAAGCTGCCACAAATAATATACTCATTTACTACTCAGGAAATACACTCCCTTCATTGAAAAGTGATGACATGAAATTGAACCAACTCCCAGTACCGCTCTGAATTATTCTTACTGTGCCTGTAGCACACAGAAAGCCCTACAAAGAAAATAAATACAATAACCATCAGGCTTCCAGACTCCCCCTAAAAGACAGCAGTATTGCATTCTTTCTGAATTTGCTTCAGTGTATGCTACGTCTCTATAGGAAATGTTTTATTGATTTAATCTAGTAAAACCCAACAGTCTCTTAATAGCTAAAGTAGATAACAAGGCTATCCAGGGGTTTGCTGCTTACTCGGGAAGTCAACTGAGAAAGACAGAGGTCCCAAAGAAAGCTGTCTTTCTCCAGCTTCAAGAGTGGGCGGGACAAACAGCATAAGGCTCAGGAAGCTGCACCGCTTTGAAGAGGACTTAAAAATGCAAGACCTGGTCCCTGCAGGAACTTCAAAAATGCCTGTTGCAACGACAGCTTGATCTGTTGTTGACATCCCCCTCTGACCATGGCAGCCACTCTCTGATTTCTGTGTTCTTTGAGGGAGAAACTCTGCTCCAGACCAGCTCTAACGCCAGCTCATTTGGGGACTCTGGGGTGTCCTTAAACCATCTGGGGCCCTAGTTTTCCCTTCTTCAGAAAGGCTGGGGCTGAGCCAGAGAATCTCAGGTCCTTTTCCATTCTAAAGTGTTGTGATTCTTACAAGAAAACACTGTCATCAAAACCAGATACTTGTTATTTTCCCCCAGAATCCAATTACTGAGGGCTTCCTGTAGTGAACAGTGAGCTGCTCCACTTTCTAGCTATGTGACCCTCGAAGGCTTCGTCCCCTCACTGTCCAGGGGGAAACAAGGGTTAAAGCAAGGTGGTATATAAGAAAAACGTCTTGTGAACAGTTACGAAGGAAGCAGTAACTGGGAAAATTTCAAGAGGTCATCTAGATCCCACCCTCCCATTCCATCCCATCATCCCTCTTCCCCTATCCATGACCAAGGCCTCCTACAAGGGCAAAATCTAGAAGTCATGTTCAGAACTGTCATTCTTTGTGTGCCATTTTCAGAGTCTCCAAGGAAGATCCTAATCTCCCCAAATGAAAAAGGTTGATTCTTCTTGAACCGCCACCTGCAGTATGCATGTCAGAAAGACTTTTGTAGGCACACCTGTTGCAGGTAAAATAAGGCAGGGATACTGGCCCAGAAAATGCCCCCAATGCAATTCCCGCTTGTTTCCAGTCAGATGCTAGGTCAAGAGCTTTACATAAGGCTGGGTGCAGTGGCTCACACCTGTAATCTCAGCACTTTGGGAGGCCAAGGTGGGCAGATCGCTGGAGCCCAGGAGTTTGAAATCAGCCTGAGCAACACGGCAAAACCCCATTTCTACAAAATACAAAAAAAAAATTAGCTAGGCACTGTGGTGCACAACTGTAGTCCCAGCTACTTGGGAGGCTGAGATGGGAGGAGAGCTTGAATCTGGAGAGGTTGAGGCTGCAGTGAACTGTGATTGTGCCACTGCACTCCAGCCTGGGTGACAGAGCAAGACCCCGTCTCAAAAAAAAAAAAAAAGAACTTCACAGAAAAGATGGTACCTGTACTATTATTTGCAATGTACTTAGATGTTTTAAGATTTATCAGCAAATAAAGAAGCAGTCATAGTGAGGGAAAAGTGTATTTCACAGTCATTACAAAAGTACATATATCTAATAATGGTGACATAAATATAGTCTTTACTTACGACCAAATCGTACAATTAAAATGGACTTTTCCTCCTGGACTTCACACAATGACAGTCCAGTCAATTTCTGTCAGTAACTACAGGGTGACTGGAATCACAGGCACAGACTGAGGAAGACAGTCACAGTCAAACAGACAACACGTTTTGGACTTACCAAAGGGAGAGTCAAGCTTTCCATATAAATATAATAAAATAATAAAGACTCTAACATTTCTCCTTTCACTCGGTTTCATAGATTTGTCAGGTGCCCATACACGCACAAAAATACAGTTGATCCCCTTTCCTCACTCCCCCTCACCTCTCACTGGGTTTAGAATAAACCTGAGTTCAGAGTCCAGGTCACCAACGGCAATGCGGTCAGTTAGCGGCACATCTGCAGCTGTTCTTGAAGCATGCCAGGAATGAGAAGCACGTTCTCCACGAGCTAATGGCAAGGCGGAAGCGCTCCTGTTCTCAAGGAAAAGGCACCGGGGCTCCAGAAAGTTCCCAATGCACAGGTGTACACCCTGTGAGCCTGCAAAGTGGAGCCGTGGCAGCTGGAAACCATCTTTAGAAAAGGTACACTTCATGTCAAATGGAGAGATGGTCTTAGATGGTTCTTTTCTTCTCTCTGCTTATAAAACTCTATTTTCTTTTTTTCTAGAGACAGGGTCTCACTTTGCCACCCAGGCTGGAGTGCAGTAGCATGATCTTGGCTCACTGCAGCCTCGATCTCCTAGGTTCAAGTGATCCTCCCACCTCAGCCCCGCAAGTAGCTGCCACCACACCCAGCTATTTGTTTGTATTTTTTGGTAGAGAAGGGCTTTCACCATGTTGCCCAGGCTGCTCTCAAACTCCTGGGCTCAAGCGATCTACCCGTCTCGGCCTCCCAAAGTGCTGGGATTACAGGCATGAGCCACCATGCCTGGCCTAAAAGCTCTGTTTTCAATGGTAAGTTCTGGAACCCAGTCTGAAGCTATACAAAAAATAACACCAATCGCCAAGGGGTCTGACCTCATCCTAGAATGCCCTAGAGCTGGGGTGATCCCCTAGGGAGAAAGGAGGCAGCTCCAGGTCTCACCAAGGTCGGCCAAATATCCATTCTCTCCTGCTCTGTCAGAGACGTGAGGGACTAAGGGATGTCACCACTAGTGAATGAGAGTGTGATTCAGAACTACCTCTCTGCCCTCTGGCAAGGCTGCCTGCCAGGAAAATAAAGGCTGGCTTTGCAATTCTAGATTTGTGTTTTGGGATCCATGGACTGAGATGACTATCCGAGGTGGCCACAGAGGCGGTCTCTGGTCACACCTGCACTGGTCAAAATTTGAAGACTCCAGGCCATTCTGTAACCAGTCTCCTACACTAACCCCTATCCCACCTGTGCTGATGAGTCTTCTTTTTCTGATTCTTCTCACCAATGAGTGCACCCTGCCAAGTGCCAGCTGGATACAGTCAGACAACACGGGGGTCCATAAAACACACACACGGGGGGCACAGACACAATACTGGAGACACATCTTTGGTTCGATCCTTGGAGAAAGGTGTGAAAACACAATGTGGACTGAACCCTGTTTGAGGAGCTCGGCTTTCCTCGAAGAAGAAACTGGTCCGTATCTGAACAGGTTCTCTGCCAGGCAAGCCCGCTCCCAGCTCCCAGCAAACTCGCTGAGCTCTGGGCCGCACGAGTTCTGTGGGCCCCTTGAAATCCGCATCGCACAGAGGTAACGCTGCCTTCTCGCCATCCGAATTATGCTCTGAATTGTCACGATCATCGTTTCTCTCTTTCTACAGAACCAGCTGTGACCGTGTTCTACGCCTCCCAGAAGGATCAGGGCTATGCCTTGAACGACAGGATGAACACAGGACCACCGAGACGTGCCCTGCCTGTGGGCCATAGCACTCCGCCCATCACCACAGTCAGCTTCCAGATGTGCCCTGCCTGTGGGCCATAGCACTCCGCCCATCACCACAGTCAGCTTTTTTGCTCTCCACACTGACCCCTCCCGTGAAAACACGAGTTTGGTGGAATTGCTTCTCATCTCTCCATCCAAGTTTTAAAAAAGTATGTTATTTCAATTTACTGACATCACATTTTTTAAAAAAAAAAAGTCTCTTTGGAAAAGATAATTCAATCATTAGCACGTTTCAACAACAACAACAAAAATCTATCAAAATCTTGCTAGGGAAGTGAGTGTCTCCTTCAGTCTCTCTCTTCTGTCGCGTTCCCCACCGTTTGCTTTGATGTTGGTCCGAAGCTCCTCTCCGTCTTCCTCTGAGGATCCTGGGCCTGCCCCGGGCTCCCGCTGGCCTTCAGGGAATCCCTGCTATGAAAGGCAGGGCTGCTACACTCCGCAGAGGAAACGTGGCCAGGATGAATGACTGCGATGTTGTTCTCTCCCTGTGACTGTGGCCAACCGCTGTGGGAGGCACACATGTAGCACAGTGTGAAGAAAGATCTGGTAACAGTCCATAATCTGAGGGCCCCAGAAGGCTGATGCCTCGTTTTCCCTCCAAGCCTGGGGGAAGTGGGAACTGGAAGGGGTGGGTGAGTGGTTGAGAGGAAGGAAGATCTGAAAGATAGAAATTGGCTGCCCCTGGAGCCAACCCTCCTAGCGATTCCAGCATCTCTGGGGGTCCCTAAGTGAGGTTGGGTTGTGCAGGCTTTGGGTCTGTGGATTCAGCTACAGGTGGGATACTGCACGGCAGGAACCAATGGGGCCACTAAGGATGCTCCAAGCGAGGCCTTGGAATGTTCACACCCTGACAGATGTGTGGAGCTCTGTTTCGCTGCTATTTGCTAGAGATACCCCACATCCTGCTGGCTCAAGTTAGCACTGGGTCTTGACCCCATCGGCCATGTCAAAGGCAAGGTTCACGGGGGCTAGGGGCTGCAGCGGGGGCAGGCTGGCCTCCAGGGGCCTATCTGCAGATGGCTGCAGACTCTGATGGCGCTTCCTCAGCATCTGTCCGATGCCCATCATGGGGAACCGGCCTCGGCTTTTCACACAATTCGGGCTCCCCAGAGGCTGCATGGGGCCATTGCTGGGAACCGGAGGTGGGGAACACAGGCCCTCCTCTTTTGGGGGGCTGTTTTTATCTTCATGAGCAAAAGAGACCAGAGTTGGATGCAAAGGAGTATGGAGAGGCGACATGCTTCCAGACGGCAGCCCCGGGGACAGCGTCCTCTCGCTGGAATTTCTGCGAGCCAAGCTGACCGGGGAGTTCAGAATCCTGTAGTGATGAGAGGGAGACAGCACTTCTATGTGGTCGTCTCGGTCCACAGACTCGAAGGAGCGCACCATGTCCAGCATCAGGGGGTCTTCCTTGTGGGGGATGCCGGTGCTTCCGGGCCCTGGTTGATGGGGCTCCGGTTTCTTCACAATCCTCGGGGTCCTGGGCGGTGGCACGGGGATGAACTCCATGGAAGAAGAAGCCACGCAATTGGAATCAGAGGTTTTGCGGAAAATATTGCGGCAGCCAAAGGAATCTGCACACCAAGAAAGGGTAAACAATCATGAGGATGCCTGGACAGTGTTCACAGCCCTTCTCCTGCCTGCTCTGACCTCCAGCTCGACTGAGACAGTTCCCCACCAAGGTCAGAAGAAACCAGCCAGCAAACAGCCTTGGCTACTTTGCAAAAGTCACCAGCAGCGTGTCACTCTCCCCACAGATGCTGGGCAGTCTTTCTAGGACAGAGGGACAGAGGGCTGGTGACAGGAGGTCTCCTGGATTCCAATTTGCCTCATGGCCCCAGCCTAACATTGTGCCTGCTTTTGATTGCTTAAAATTCTGGACCCTAGGCAGCGGTGGCTCACGCCTGTAATCCCAGCACTTTGGGAGGCCAAGGTGGGAGGACTGCTTGAGCCCAGGAGTTCAAGACCAGCCTGGGCCATATGGCAAGACCCTGTCTCTAAACGTTTTTTTAAAAATTAGCTGGGTGTGGTGGCAGGCACCTGTGGTCTTGCAGGTGGTACTTGGGAGGCTGAGGTGGGAGGATCGCCTGAACCTCGGAAGTGGAGGCTGCAGTGAGCCTTGATGGCACTACTGCACTGCAGGCTGGGTGACAGAGCGAGATTCTGTCTCACAAAAAAATGAAAAAAAAAAAATCTGGACCTTGCCAAAGGATCTTGGAGTTAAAAAAGGCACATGTACTCAAAAGCCTATCCATAAAACTCCCAGAAGCACACCAAGGTGCCCTGACTGAACTCCCGCCAATCTGGTCCTTGGACAGCCCACACTGGAAGGCGTGCTTCCCTCGTGACTTTTAAAGAATGTATTTACTGTGGTAAAAAACACGTAACAGAAATGCTATCATCTTAACCATTTTTAAGTGTACAGTTCAGCTGTAGTAAGTATATTCACACTGTTGTAGAATCAATCTCCAGAACTGTCTTCCTGTTGCAAATCTAACACCCCATATATATCCCCACGCTCTGAAACCCCCGGCAACCACCATTTTACTGCCTGTCTCCATGAATCTAACCACTCTAGGGACCTCATATAAGTGGAATCACAGTATCCGCCTTTAGTGACTGGTGTGATTCACTTAGCATAATGCCCTCCAGGTTCATCTGTGTTGGAGCACGTGCCAGGATTTCCTTCCCTTTTAAGGCTCCCTCATGACTTTTGATCTGGATGGAGCCTCATCCAATTCTGAACGGGGGTAAAACATCATCCATCCATACAGTTAAGGCAACGTGCCAGATCCCCATGGTTTCTGTCTCTGGTTGGCACAGACTAGAATCCAGGTTTGCAAACTGGGCCAGAAAAGAAAGGGGAAACCCTCTACAGATTTGGAGATGAGGGAAATAAAGCCAAGTTCATGTGGAATAAGCTCTGTCTTAGCTTCTTTCTTTTCCCGTAACGTTCTATAGGCTCTGCGGAGGCCCAGCTGCAGGAGCAAGCTGCTGCCCACTGGGATCGATTCTGGGAGCAGCTGAGGGCATTGGGAAGCCTCCCTGCCTTGCAGAAATAAACACATAGGCGCTGAAATGAAACTGGCCGGCACAGGCGCCTGAGATGCATCAGCAGAAAGAAGTAAAACTTCATTAATGGCCAAGATCTCCAATGTTCCAGCTGCCACATGGACACTGCTGCCCCTCCCAGATCCACTGCATGCTCTGCCCCAGGGAAAGCAGGTTGCTTTGGGCAATGTGGGGACAGTGGCCTCTCTCTGGGAGCAGCATGGGAGGCAGAAGGACAGGAGACAGGTTCAAGTCCTGCTCAGGCACTAACTGCCCGCTACACCTGAGTGTATCTCAGACAGCCACGGCCCTCTCTGAACCTGGTTCTTCATATTTAAGGAGATTGAACTCCAAGAAGTGTCTCATCCCCCTCAGTAACAGGAACCTCTCTTCTACCTCACGGCTCTGCTTCAAGACGCCCTCGGCTCCTGTGTCCCCTCTTGGCGTTTCTACCATGTGTTAAGCCTGTGCCCAGTAAGGTCTGCTTTTTGCATCTTTTAGCACACGTCCCAGAGGAGGGAAATTCACGTTTGTCAGTTCTCTGTGATGGGCTGGATTCTGACTCAGGTGAGGAAGCCTATATATGCATCTCACCTCATCTGCCCAACAGCTCCGACAGGTGGGAGCCCTTAGAAAGCCAGTGAAGACCCTCAGCAGTAAAGGAACTTGCACCTCTGCAGGCAGCAGAGCTGGAATCTGAACTCAGGGAGATACCCGGTCTCCGCTCTGCAGGCCATCTCTACTCCCACAGTTCCTTACAGCCTCATCTCTGCCCCTACAGTACCCCACATGCTGACCTCTGCTCTGCAATACTGTGCCTCCCAAACTCTGTTCTGACAATATCATCCACCCCAATTTGTTTCCACAATACTTTGCACCCCATCTCTGTTTTCTCAAATCCTTCCTGCGCAAGTGGCTAATGCCACACAGCTTGGTCCTGGACTGTGCTCAGGCAACCTCGGGTCCATGAATCCTGCCTTTCTGTGGGCACAGGAATCATCTCTGCTCTAGGGCCCATTCGACCATCCGCTGTGAGGGCTACACAGTGGACACGCAGCCCAACACAAGTGGCCTGAGAGAGTCCCCACAGCTGACCCACCTTTGTCGGGGAAGCTGGACTTGGAGGCCTTCCGGTCCTTCAGGAGAGCTCTGGTGTTCTGAATCTGTGTCATGAGCGACGCTGAGGGCTGTTTGTGCGAGGGCAGGTTCTTGTCCAACTTCTTGGAGAATGGTCGATGAAGAAAATCCCCTCTTTTTTCTTGTTCTTTGGGCTTTTTATCCTGCAAATCAGAAGCAAACATATGCACTTAGACACACTCTAGAAGATACAATGGGATTCCTCTTTGAAAAGTCATTCAAACCGATGAGAGAAACTCCAGCTTTTCAATACTCTAGGCTCTCAACTGTGTGTTGAATGAGGGAGGAGCTGTGGCCCAGCCAAGGCTCCAGGAAGCCCATCTCCCTCTGCCTGGGCAGTGAGTGGCCTTCAGTGGACCCCAGCGCCCTTTCACTGTGCTCTTTCAAGGCCTTCCAGCAAGGGCAAGGCATTCCTAGGAGGTCACTTCTTCTGGAACAAGACCAACAAACTAAGGTGAAGCAGAGAAGGACTTCTGGAAACCTCCTGTCTGCATTTAAAGTGGAGCCCAAAGATTGTGTCCGCAGTAATGGCTTTGCAAAGGCAACTGGGAACATAACTGCTTCCACCTTCACATCAGGATCTATTTGGGGCAGTCAAGTCAAGGGGGTGCCAACACAACATATACAACAAATCCAGGGAGCCCTGAGTGGTCCTGATGGGCTTCCAGCCCTTTCTACCCTAATCATGCGAGAACTTACTTGCATACTTAGGACTCATGTGTATGAAGCATTTTTTTTTTTTTCTTGAGGCAAGATCTTGTGCTATCACCCAGGCTGGGGTGCAGTGGTGTCATCATATCTCACTGCAACCTCGAGCTCCTGGGCTCAAGTGATCCTCCCACCTCAGCCTCCTGAGTAGCTGGGACTACAGGTGTGCACCACCATGCCCAGCTATTTTAAAAAGAAAGATTTCTTGTAGAGATGGGGTCTCAGTATGCTGTCCAGGCTGGTTTCGAACTCCTGCCTCAAGCAACCCTCCTGTCTCAGCTTCCCAAAATGCTGGGATTACAGATGTGAGCCAAAACGCTTGGCAGTGGCCATTCTTTTGGTATACATCTTGCCTTTGTTGTACTAGATGATAATCCATCTGATGGGAATGAATTTGACTTTTATATTATCTTCAAGTCCACAGCCTCTGGCATAAAGCCAGATGCTTAGAAAGCTTAATAAACAGTTATTGAAATGTTTTTTAAAAAGGCTGGTAGAAACGGAACTGAATTAATTTTGATTCAGTTCAAGCTTCTGGGAAAGGTGATGTCACTAAGAAGCAGCAGCAGTTCTTTTTCCGCCCCTAAAGCCTGTGTTTGGTGTTTACTGTTAAAGCAACCCCACCTCTGACCTCACCGTGGGTGAGGAGGAAAAAAACGCTTTTCTTTTTCACATTTTTGCCCTCAATTTTAACCAGCATTTGCAAACCAAGAGAGCTCATCTAGTTTCCATTCACTTTGTTGAGAAGCTTCTCAGGGAAACGTCTCTTTGCACTTTTACAGCCCTTTCTAATAAGGATGTTCAAAGTCTCTGCAGATTAGAGTTCATGATGTCCAGTTTGTGAGTGGGAAAGAAGATGGGGGAGATGTGGGAAGTGGGGACGCTGAGCCTCGTGGCAAGTGCCACTGTGAGGGGCCACAGCTCCCTGGGAGCCTGGCCTGTAGCTGATGTGGCTGCTTCCCAACAAAGGGGTGATATGGGAAGCCAGGAGAGGCGAAGCTTCCTCAAACTCCCTCCTTAGCACCTTCACAGCTGCCACCAGCCTTTTTTGAGAACACGCGGGGTGCCAGACGCTGCACTGAGGACATGACCCAACAGTCTGCTACCTCCTTTACATGTGAAGAAACAGTCTGTAGTGCTTATGTAATCCACCGTGAGCCTGGTGGAAACGTGGATTTTCCCGGCCCTGAAGTCGATGTTGTCAACCCTTGACACCACACTCTCAGAACTTGGGGCAGGGTCAGGCGGTTCCAGGGATGGAAAGGTCCGGAGGCAGGAGTGTGCCACAGTCCTAGGCTCCTGCAGTGGGATCCGAATGTTCCAGAGAAGGTTATGTGCTCCAGGGCATTATCTGGGATGCCCCGAAGGGGAACTTTCATGGGGAACGTGTGCTCCAGGTCACCTTGGTTGAAGCCAGCAAAGGACAATCACCGCCTTCCACGGCTTTCCTCTCCCTTTGTGTCTGTGACACACCAACAGGCCACCTTCTCTAAGGCAAAGGAGAACAAGCTTTTGCACACACACTTACACACACAGAGACGCACACCCATCCAGCAGCAAACTCAATGTTACCGGCTTTCCTGAAAAATCTGGCAGAATCTCCTTCTAGTTGGTTCCCTTTCTCTACTTTTATGCAAAAGTTACCAGCTCTACCTGCTAACACCTTCTACCGGAAAAAGTAATCAAATGCGCCTTTGTCTCCATTTCCAAACAATATTTGGTAGAAAAGACAGCACTGCAGTTCCTTCTGTTTTCGGATTGCTTTTTAAATCGATCAGCAAACATTTTTTCAGGCTGCTCTGTGATCCACAGCCTTGAGAGCTGCCGGTGGCTGTCTAGGTTTCTTTTCATTCCTTTCTAACCCTCCTTGGGTTCTCAAAAACTTAACAATCAAGATGCAAAACGTCTGCGGACCAGTATCACCACCCAGACAGGGTCCAGAGGCACCTAGTGGTGTGTCATGCGTGGGAGTTTGCTGTGGAAAGAGACCAGGGTTGGCCTGTAAGACCACATTTCTCCTGTCGCTGACAAGAGGGCTATTTGGCAATGAGCAGAAAGCTGCTATGGGGCCAGAAAAGGGGAAAAATGCACCCCCGGACAGAAAATTCCAGGAAACCCTGCCAAGGCCACCCTTGTTCAACTTCATCCCAAGATCCTGCAGCCTGGTATGTCCTCCAAGAACCCCTAGAACGTGCTTCTCCAGCTGAAAAGAATCAGTGATTTCACAGCAACCGGTTTCTAAGGAGAAATCAAGAATTCACCCCGCCTGCTCCCTGTGGGGGACAAACCTCAGAGTCAGTCCACGCACACCGGTCAACAGCCTGGAGAAAGCATGTTTATTTACAACCAGCCAATCTCCCTGCCCTCCTAGCACATGTTACCAAATGCAACCAATCACCCAATCAGACTTTTTTATTTGCATGGCCTATTTTCTCCAAAAGAAATGTCTTAGGGAGCAGGATGCTAAATTGCCTTACATAACAGAAACAGATCTTCAGAGGGACTATCACATCCCCCTTCCACACGCAAGTTCCTCACACAGCAAAGCAGCTGCCTGCAGAGACTCCTGGCGTCCCTCCGATACGCTCCAGTACCCACGTGGACCCGAGGGTGGGTGATGGAATTCAAGCTCTCGGTTCGAAGCCCGCCCTCTTGCACCTTCAAGCACAGTTCCAAATCCCCCCAGGCAGATCAGAGAAAAGACCACATGAGGCCCCAGAGGCAAGCCACATACACTAAACAGCTTCTTGTTCTCTATCAACTATTTCCACCCACTGCAGATGATGGCATGGACATTTACAAAGAGGGACATTTTGAAAACACGGCCCCATGAACAATCATTTACCCAGGATCCTTCATGTTGTGTATTGTCCGGTGGAGGAGACAGAGATGCCTACAGGAGGGGGAAACCCATCCTCAGCCTCTGAAGTCTGAGCTCCAGAGAGCTGGTTCCCTTTGGAGTCTTCCCTGATGGCTGTGCAACTAGGGGTATGATGGCCACTGAAGAATGACCCCAGGCTTCTGTGTTCCAAAGACCCACACCGCGCCCTTCTTTCCTGGCGTGGCTGCCGCGGGTGCTGCACCTGAGAATCCCAGCCACGGTCACAGCTCGGCAGTCTGAAGTCTGGAGTCCATTCCTTGCTCTCTCCAGAATGTGTTGGGTGACCTTGAGCAATTCACTTCTCCACGAGGGAGGTGTTATCCCACGTGTAACCAAAAGTGTGGTTCCTTCCCAGCTCTGGGAGGATAACAATGAACACACATCACACCTGCTTTATCACCTGAACAGCAAATGCATCTATTTAACAGGGATGGACGCCTGCTTTGCATCCTCAGCACCCCAGGCTGGAGGATGGATGGCTGCCTGGGAAATCTGCCTCTTTCCGCATGTGGCAGAGGAGCCATGGGAGCTGAGACGAGTTTTCTTTGAGTAACTCTTATCAAGTCCAGCTGGACGTGGGCTTTTCTGGAGCTTTCCTTCCCTCTGATGATTAGTAAGCCTCACCAGGCTGTTTGGTGTGTCAGAACCCAGTGCTGACCGCTACCCCTGGGATGGCCCGGGGCCCAGATGTCGTTGGCTGGTTGGTTTTGGTTCCTTGCTGCCCATCACATAAGGGGAAATCTGATTTTGCTGCAGAAAAACCTACAAGTGAGTTGATAAAAAAGAGGGCTTCGAGGTGGGCGCGGTGGCTCATGCTTGTCATCCCAGCACTTCGAGAGGCCGAGGCAGGCAGATCACTTGAGGTCAGGATTTTGAGACCAGCCTGGCCAAGATGGTGAAACCCCATCTCTACTTAAAATACAAAAATTAGCTGGGCGTGGTGGCAAGCATCTGTAGTCCCAGCTACTCAATAGGTTGAGGCAGGAGAATCACTTGAGCTCGGAAGGCAGAGGTTACAGTGAGCCAAGATCCCATCACTGCACTCCAGCCTGGGCGACACAGCGAGACTCCATCTCAAAAAAAAAAAAAAAAAAAAAAAAGGTTTCGTTCATAAATTAGGCCACTGAGCCAGGAAGCTCTAGATAGCTGCAAATCCCATTTCTCACACAGGTGGAAACAGAAATGCACAGCCAGGTGTAGAGTTGTAATAAGACAATAAAAAACAGTCAATTCCACATAGCCAGAACCAATGTGGCCTAAAGGGATACTGATAAACTCACAACAGGATTCGGCATGTTTTAATTCTGGATAAGGATGGGGCTGGCAGAGCCTGCTGCCCTGGGCAGAGACTGACCAACCCTTAGGATCATATGTGATGGTTAATTTCATATGTTAACTTGGCTAGGCCATGGTACCCAGTTGTTTGGCCAAACACCAGTCTATGTTGTTCTGTGAAGGTGTTTTTAAAGACGTGATTCACAGACCAGGAGCAGTGGCTCACCCTATAATCCCAGCACTTTGGGAGGCTGAGGCGGATGGATCACTTGAGGTCAAGAGTTCAAGAACAGCCTGGCCAACATGATGAAACCCCATCTCTACTAAAAATACAAAAGCTAGCCAGGCGTGATAGTGGGCACCTGTAATCCCAGCTACTCGGGAGGCTGAGGCAGGAGAATTGCTTGAACCCGGCAGGCGGAGGTTGCAGTGAGCCGAGATCACACCACTGCACTCCAGCCTGGGCGACAGAGAGAGACCCAGAATAATAATAATAATAATAATAATAATAATAATAAATAAAGTGGTTAACATTTAAATTAGACTTTAAGTCGATTATCCTCCATGATGTGGGTGGGTCTCATCTGATCAGTCGATGGCCTCAAGAAAAAAAGAATGAGGTCTTCTGGCAAAAGAAATTCTGCCTCTAGATGGCCTTCGAACTTGAAGCTGCAACATCAACTCATCCAACCTGCTGGTCTGCCCTGCAGATTTCAGACTTGCCAATCCCCACAATTGTGTGATCCAGCTCCTTAAAGTAAATCTCGGTCTCAGTCTCTCCCTCTCCATGCTCTGCTGGTTCTGTTTCTCTGGAGAACCCTGACTAATACATAATAATCCCCCAAGTTCTTACCTGCACAGCATGGAATTCAAGATCCCTTGTCCAGGTGTCCAGAGAGGCCTGTGAAAAGGAACATCCTTCAACATTCGAGAATCTGCACTTGCTATTTATTCCCTAAATGCTCCCCTCATGGCCCTGCAGCTCTGGCTGAGAATTATTCGTTTCCGTTTTCATAGACAGAAAGCAAATCCTGAAATCGCCATGGAAGTAGGCAGCAGATGTCCTAATTTGTGTGCTGAATAGATTTCCTAGGTAAACTTTTCATTAAAATCTAAGACGCTGTATGGAGGAGTGCTCTAATGATAAGTCAGCAGCTCAATGTTTTCTCAAACAGCAAAGACAGCCACAGAAATGTCACTCAGATCAAGAAACAGAACACACAGCCAGTATCTGGAAGGTCCTCCCTGCCATCCCCATGTCCTCTCCCAGGCATTCTGTCCCCCAAAAGTAACCGCACTTCTTTTTTTTTGAGACTGAGTCTCGCTCTGTCGCCCAGGCTAGAGTGCAGTAGCATGACCTTGGCTCACTGCAAACTCCACCTCCCAGGTTCAAGCAATTCTCCTGCCTCAGCCTCCCGAGTAGATGGGATTACAGTGTGCACCACCACACCCCGCTAATTTTTGCATTTTTAGTACAGACAGGGTTTCACCATGTTGGCCAGGCTGGCCTTGAACTCCTGACCTCAAGTGATCCACCTGTCTTGGCCTCCCAAAGTGCTGGGATTACAGGTGTGAGCCACTGAGCCCAGCCAAGTAACTACATTTCTGATTTCTAACAGCACAGATCGCTGAATCTGATTCTGAACTATATTTTTAAAAGTAGTATAGATTTTGAAGTAAGACACGAAGTGAACATTTTAATATTTGCCTTTAAATGTTTTATCCCTGTGTGGGTTGAATTATATTCTCCCAAAATTCATAGGTTAAAGTCTAACCCCAGGACCTCAGAGTTTGACCTTATTTGGGGAGAGAGTCTTTACAGAGGTAATCAAGTTTAAATGAGGCTGTTACGGTGAGCCCTAATGCAGTATGACTGGTGTCCTTTAAAAATGTGGAAATTTGGGCTGGGCGTGGTGACTCACATCTGTAATCTCAGCCCCTTGGGAGTCTGAGGTGAGCAGATACCTTAAGCTCAGAAGTTCAAGACCAGCCAGGCAACAAGGTGAAACCCCTTCTCTACAAAAAATTAGCCAGGCCTAATGGTGCATGCCTATAGTCCCAGCTACTAGGGAGGCTGAGGTGGGAGGATCACCTGAGCTGGGGAGGCCAAGGCTGAAAAGAAATATGATTGTGTCACTGCACTCCAGCTTGGCCTGGAAACAAAGAAAAAGGAAGGAGGGGAGGGGAGGGAGGGGAAGGAGAAGGGAGAAAAAGAGAGAGAGAGAGAGAGAAAGGAGGGAGGGCAGGAAGGAAAAAAGGAAGAAAGAAGAGAGGAAGAAAGAAAGAAAAAGAGAGAAAGAAGAAAGAAATAAAGAAAAAGGAAGGAAGGAAGGAAGGAAGGAAGGAAGGAAGGAAGGAAGGAAGGAAGGAAGGAAGGAAGGAAGGAAGGAAATAAGGAAGGAAGGAAGGAAGGGGGGAAAAGAAAGAAGAGAGAAAAATGAGGGAGGGAGGAGAGAAAAGAACGGGAAAATTGGGACAGATACACACACAGGAGAATGCCGTGTAGATGAAGGCAGAGATTGTGGTGATGCATCTGTAAACCCGGAACATGGCCTCCAGAACTGTGAAAAGGTAAATTTCTACCCATTTTGTGGTGCTTGTTAGGGCAGCCAAGCAGACGAATCCAGCCCCCCACCACCCTCTCCATCAGTTTTCTTCCAAAACTCCAACATTACTTTGTCATTGTAGAGGAGACCTCCTAGCTGGATTTGACATTTTCTTATCAATGAACACTGTTTTTCAAAAGACTTTAACAAAACTGGCCCTGGGCTCTCTATGGCTTTAATAAGCCAATTTAAAAATGATAACCTCCCCACCTCGACCCCCAAAGTCCCGGGGGGTTCTCTTTTTTAGAAAAAGGAGTCTGTTGGGCACACACGATAGGTGTCCTCAGATGAGAAATGCACCCCACTTTTATAGATAGTCTCTACCTTTGACAGGAAAAAGAGGTAGAGAAAATGGTAAAGTTGTAAAATCACTGCACAGTAACCCCAAGAGGGAAGTTGTTGCAACTTAATTCAGCTCCTTTGTCTCCTAGGAGAAAACGAACTGGAATCAAAAGGAACAAAGAGGCCACTGCTTGCACTTAGTGCCTGGACACGGCTTGATGACAGCCCTAGGGGACATGGGCCCTGGGCCACACCCCAGTTTGCTCACAGTCTGAAACCTCTCCACCACTCCCTCTCCCCATCCAGCTCCACCCCTGCCACGTGGTGCTGAGGACGACTGGAAGGCCCTCCGGCTCCCAGTGGACTTTCCCTGGGAGGCCTCGGCCCTTCCCTTTCCCGAACTAGCCTCACTCCACTTTCTAGGTTCCGCCGGAGACAAGTTGGATCATCTGGTAATAGCTGTCATTTAATTAGAGAAGTATCGCTGCAGTTTAGAGGAAACAAATGGATCATAGAAAATTTAATGCTGTTTGCCCATTAGTGTTCCTATTTAAATCCTAACCGTTAAATATTTCAACAAATGTTTAAACGCTTACCATGTGTCTTCAGGCCAGAGAATAGAGAAAAGGAATCGGAATGAAAGAAGGGCCCCTCTCCCACTAGAGTTCTGACACACACTCGCAGTGGGGTGGATGTGAGGTCAGTGTGGACCAGGGCGTCGGCAAGGTGACTTACGGGCCACCTAGGGCACACGCCCCATGCACCTAAGTTTGCACGGTTATTTGAGGTCCTCATGAGTGACATGCAAAGCACGAGGGAGGAAGTCTAACAGTGAATTCTGCATCCCCCGGACTCTGGCTGAGGTGACCATCCTCAGTGCAGGTGACCATAAGCGGTCCCTCCCTGATGTAAGGCATGGCCGTTTGGTGATGATAACATCATGTGTGTGCGAGGCTGCAGGTATCCCCCTGCCTTTAATCCAGCCAGGTGTCCTACCTGGAATGCCCTCCCTATTCCAGTTGCTTGTCCCAGTTCTATCCATTTTCTGACACTCTGATCAGGGCTCACTTGATCTTTTCATTTGTTTATTGAGCAAATATTTATTGAGCACCTACGACATGCCAGGCATCGTGTGGCCTCTGAGAATACTGTGAGGAGCAAAAGGGACTCAGAGCCCACTCTTCTGGAACTCACAGCCCAGAGGGAGAGATGTTAATCAAACAGCCCCAGAACAAATAAATAGCTGCAAACGGGACAGGCCCCAGGATGTAGAACTGATAGGCAGATAGGATAGATAGCATAAGACTAGATGGCAGAGGTCAGGGAATAGAAGGGGCCCATGGGGAGGTGATCTTGCTTTGGGATCTGAAAACACTTAGGTTTAGCAAAGAGGAGCAGGGAAAACATTCTGAAAGAGGGAACGGCATGTGCACAGCCCTGGCAGGCAGAGAGCGCACAGCAAGCCCTAAGGCTGTGGACTGAGCACAGGGCGGGACGCAGCGCTGTGTGTGTGGGCCATGGGGCTGGGAGACAAGGTAGGGGAAGCAAGCTGGGGCTGAACCACACAGGGCGACCACGCACAGAGTCTGCCCGGCAAGTGAAGGAAGCCTCCGAAGGTCTCAAGCAGGAAAGTGACATGATGAGGTGTGAGGGTGAAAAGCTCGCTCTGACGGCCAGGCAGGAGAGAGTGGCAGGCCACCATCCCGGAAGCAAGAGGGTCAGTTAGGAGGGCATAGCAGAAGTCTAGGACAGAGGTGATATGGCTGGGAACAGGTGTGGGGACGCAGATGGACAGAGTGCAGGGGCTGGAGGGGTTTAGCAGTCAAATTGGCAGAACTTGGTGATGGGGTGGTTCTAGGGGTCAGGGGAGAGTCAGAGTCAAGGACTCGGGTCTCTTCCCTGCACTGATGGAGGATGGGGCTGCTACTGTGCTGGGGGGCGGAGGGGGCGGGGGGAGAGTCTGGTTCAGAGCGTGCTAGATTCAAGACCCCTTCGTTCATGCAAGAGAGGGTTAACATTTAGTAATCAACTGGCCAGAGGGGTCTAGAGTTCGGGGGCATCTGGGTCCCCACCACCTGACTCTCCGGCTTTAAGCCTGAAAGCCACACCTGGGCTTGTGGCTTAGCTCCTGCAGCCACAGCCCACCTTCCAAAGAGCTTGTCTCCATCCTCATCTTCCCCGGGCCCCACAGCCTGTCTTGAGGAAGGGGCATCCAGCCTGGGGTCAAGGCCAAGGCCTACCATTCCTCCCCTGCCCCAAGCATCCTTCTATCAAGGACACGTTCTCTCCCTTCACTGCAGCGTCACTGACAGACAGGTACATGCTCACGGACTTCACTTCCCCCTCCCCACCCCTAAATCCACGCAACCTCTCTGCTGCCTTTGGCACTTCATGAAGCTGTTCTTTCTAACATGCTCAGGACAACTAGCTGCCCAGTAGACAATGCTGACCATTTCATGTGTGACCTTCCCTCTGTTCCCATGGCCCCCCCGGTCCCCTGCTGGCATCACTGCCTTCTGACTGCCCCACCCCCTGCCCGACCACCCCCCAGCCCTCGTCTTTGCCAGTTTCTCCTCTCCTTCTGCTCCAGGGTCTGTCTGAAAAGGAGACCCGTGCCATTGCCCACCTCGATGCTGGGGTAGTTCCCTCTCCTGAGCTCCCATCACATTCACACACAGGGCCCTGCAGCTGGGCACTCCCTGTCATCAGTGTCCCTGGACACCTGCTTCACTGGCTGCCCAGGAGCCCAGTGTGGGCCCCAGTAACCACCATGCTCCACTGCAGTCCTGCGTGCAAGACAAGCCCGGAGAAGAATCCTTTCAGAGCGATGTGCACCGCTCAAGGGATCAGGATGAAAACTTTACGTCGGAAAAGGAAAGAGAGGAGAGGCCAGGCCCAGTGGCCTCACTGGGGCATAGACAAAGGGATCCCTTTTTGATCCCTTCTCAAATGAAGGAACTTCTGGGTGGGTGATATGATTTGTCCCCACCCAAATCTCCCCTTGAATTGTAAAAATCCCCATGTGTCAAGGGCGGGCCAGGTGGAGACCACTGAATCACGGTGGCGGTTTCTCCCATACTGTTCTCATGGTAGTGAATAAGTCTCACAAGATCTGATGGTTTTATAAAGGGGAGCTCCCCTGCACATGCTTTCTTGCCTGCCGCCATGTAAAACATGACTTTGCTCCTCATTCACCTTCCACCACGATTGTGAGGCCTCCCCAGCCATGTGGAACTGTGAGTCAAACCTCTCTCCTTTATAAATTACCCAGTCTCAGATATGTCTTTATTAGCAGCGTGAGAACAGACTAATAGACCTGGGTGTCCCAGGAGAGAGGTTCCCGTGGCAAGGACACTCAGGGGACATAAAGAGGCTCCAGAGGGGAAGGGGAAGAGGTTCCGAGGAAAATCACTGAGAGAAAGAAGAGCTCCCTTGGCAAAAAGTGAATGAGGGGCCCTGAGGCCACACCCCACCCCTGGCCCCCTCCCTGGATCTGGAATTCACAGGCACAGTCTCCCAATAAACATGGATGTGGGATCCAGATTTGAGACAATTTGCCACAGGAGTCTGGTTTTTATTCTGAAATCAAAGAGCCGTGGTCTTTTTCTCTAGGTACGTCCCAGGTTACATCAGGTCACCAGGGACAGCTGGTCAGGAAAGCCTGCGTGATCCCAAACTTTCCTGGTCCTCATCTCACTTTCTTCTGATGCCACGTGTTACACTCAGCTCTATTTTTAAGCATCTCATTTTTTTCTAGCATTTGCATTTTTTTCCTTTTATTTTTAGTTGATGCATAATCATTATACATCTTTTTTATGGGACAGAGTGATATTTCCATCCATGTATTCAATATGTAATGATCAAATCAGGGTGATCGGCATATTTATTACCTCAAATATTTATCATTTCTTTGTGTTAGGAACATTCAAAATCCTCTTTTAGCTTTTTGAATATATATAATAAGTTACTGTTAACTATAGTCACCCTACAGTGCCACAGAACACCAGAACTTATTCCTTCTGTCTAGCTGTAATTTCATGTTCGTTAAGCAACCTCTCTCTACCCTCCCTTCCCCCTGCCGTTCCAAGCCTCCAATTACCACAGTTTTACTCTGTACTTCTATGAGATCAATTTTTGCTAGTTTCACTCACATGTGAGTGAAACACTGAAACATCTCATTTTCATTTTGGGAGATCCTGACAGTGGTTTTCAACTTTGGCTGCTTACTGGAACATCCAGGGAGCTTTAAAAACTCCTGATACCTGAGTCTCAACTCCCAAGATTGGATGGAACGGGTCTGAGGAGCAGCCTGGGCATCCAGATGTTCAAACGCTCCCTGCGACTTTAACATGCAGCCAGAGCTGAGAACCATGGTTTAGACACCGCGAAGTTGGTTCCGCTGTAAACCATTTCTCCAGGGCTCCGTTATGAGTGTAAGTATGTGTCTTTTGCTACTTCAGTGTCCCACAGTAATTGGTTTCTTTTCCAATTACTGCAAATGGAAATCCACCCTTCCTAAGAGACCCTGAGGTTGGCTTCAGGGATTACTCACCTCATAGGACTCCTTGGGGGCCCTGTACTTTTCTATCTGGTAGAGTCGGGTCTTGTAGCAGAGGCTGTCCTGGATGTCAGATTTCTACCAGAGGAGAAAAGAAAAAGCACAGCTCAACTCTCAGAAATAGAAATGTCCATTAAGCAGTCATTAATTTTTAAACCAGCGCTTGGCTGAGAGAATGCTGGAAATGTTTGGCAGGCCAGTAAATTGCAACATAAACTCTCACCCCAGGATGGCCTACATGCAGGATGCAGCGTGGGGTGAGCCCTGGGCGCAGAGTCGGGTCACCTACTTGTGTTACTATCACTGCCAGCAAAGGGCCAGGTGGCCCTGAGTAGAACGCTGCCCCTTGCAGGGCCTCAGTTCTTTTATCTGTGCAGTAAGACTACTCAAAAACATGTACGTAGAAACCAAGAAAATGAGCTGGAAAGAATAACTTATTTTATTGGACCACTACATAGAACATGGATCTTGCTTCTTTGCTTTATTTTAAAACAGCACACAGCCGGGCACGGTGGCTCATGGAATCCCAGCACTTTGGGAGGCCAAGGTGGGTGGATCACCTAAGGTCAGGAGTTTGAGACCAGCCTGGCCAACATGGCAAAACCCCGTCTCTACTGAAAATACAAAAATAGCCGAATGTGGTGGCACACGCCTGTAATCCCAGCGACTCGGGTGGCTGAGGCAGGAGAATCACTTGAACCCGGGAGGTGGAGGTTGCAGTGAGCCAAGATCATGGCCACTGCACTCCAGCCTAGGTGACAGAGTGAGACTGCGTCTCTCAAGAAAATGAAAATAAAAATAAAAATAAACAAAAAACAAAAAACAGTGCACACACACACCACACACCACACACACACACGCACACACTGCTCCCCACTACCACCACCCAAATGAAAGCCATGACAGTTCCTAACATAGCTCAAAGAAGAAGACAAACAACTGCACTGAAGCTGAGGTAGGTGCAATCCTGTCTGGAAATGGGTGAAATAAAAACACGGATTAATTAATTAATCCACCAACAAATAGTTAATAAATGCCCTTCCAAGCTCTCTATCTTAAAATACATGCTTCGTGGTTTTAAAAAGAGGAAACCAAGAGAGAAGGGAACAAATGGCCATTAAGAGATAATATTTTACTTTTTAGTTCATTAGATTGAGCTTCAAAATTATACAAGGGGTGTAAATAATTGGTTGATAAGATTAATAACCGGGACAGTGCATACAGTACAATTAAATTAGCCATGTGCGGAAATTACTGAGCAGTTGAGTTGTCCGTAGGGATTAATTCACTCTAGTTAAAAACAGTCACTCGCCTAGAGTATGGATTCTCAGACTAGGTATGCCCTATGATTTAAGCATTAAATGTGAAACAGACATCATAAAACTCACAACTGGTCTGAGAATCCACACTCTAGGCAAGCAGGTGTTTCTAACTAGAGTGAATTAATCCCCACAGACAACTTGTTCAGGAATAAGACAAAGAAGCCCACTGTCACCGCTTCTATTCAGCATAGTACTGCATGTCCTAGCCAGAGCACTTAGGCAAGAGAAAGAAATCAAAGGCACCCTCAGGAAGAATAGCTAAGGAATGCTGGGATTAATACCTAGGTGATAGGTTGCTCTGTGCAGCAAACCACCATGGCACATGTTTACTTATGTAACAAACTTGCACATCCTAAACATGTATCCCGAAACTTAAAAGTAGAAGGAAAAATAAAAATAAAAATGTTTGGGAAATTGTTAAAATAAATAAATAAGTAAATAAATAAATAAAAGGAATCAAAATTGGAAAGGAAGTTCAATTGTCCCTGTTTGCAGATACACGATCTCATATATAGAAAACCCTAAAGACTCCACCAAAAAACTGTTTGCACTACTAAATGAATTTAGGAAAGTTGCAGAATGCAAAATCAATACACAAAAATCAATAGTGTTTTCATACACTAACAACAAACTATTCACAAATGAAATCAAGAAAGCAATGCCACTTACAACAGCCATAAAAAAATCAAATGCTTAGGAACAAATGTAACCAAGGAAGTGAAAGATCTGTACACTGAAAACTATAAGACATTGATGAAAGAAATTGAAGAAGACACAAGTAAATGAAAAGATTGCATAGACTGGAAGAATTAATATGATTAAAATGTCCATAGTATACTAAGCAATCTATGAATTCAATGGAATCCCTATCAAAATTCCAATGATGTTTTTCACAGAAACAGAAAAAAAAAAAAATCCTAACATTTGTATGGAACCACAAAAGACCCTGAATAGCCAAAGTCATTTTGAACAATAAGATCAAAGCTGAGGCATCACACCACCTGACTTCAAAACACATCACAAAGCTGTAGAAACCAAAACAGTATGATACTGGCATAAAAACAGAGACACATAGACCAATGGAATAGAAAAGAGAGTCCAAAAATGAATCCATGCACTTATGGTCAATTAGTTTTTGACAAAGCTGCCAAGAACACAGAATGGGGGAAGGAGATCCTCTTAAATAAATGGTGTTGGAAAACTGGACATCCACAGAGAATGAAATCAGACTCCATCTCACACCATCTGCAAAAGTCAACTCCAAATGAGTTAAAGACTTAGGCCTGGGCCACAGTGGCTCATGCCTGTAATCCCAGCACTTTGGGAGGCCGAGGCGGGTGGGCCACAAGGTCAGGAGTTCAAGACCAGCCTGGCCAACATAGTGAAACCCTGTCTCTACTTAAAATACAAAAACTTGCCGGGCATGGTGGCGCGCGCCTGTAGTCCCAGCTACTCAGGAGACTGAGGCAGGAGAATAGCTTGAACCCGGGAGCTAGAGGTTGCAGTGAACCGAGATCGCGCCACTGCACTCCAGCCTGGGGACAGAGTAAGACTCCCTTTCAAAAAAAAGAAATGGCCAATAGGTATTGCTCAATATCACCAATCATAAGGGAAATGCAAATTAAAGCCACAATGAGATACTGCCTCATACCTGTAAGAATAGCTTTTATCATAACGATGGACGATACCACATGTTGGAGAGTATGTGGAGAAGAAAGAACCTTTGCACACTGTTGGTGGGAATGTAAATTAGTACAACCATTATATAAACCAGTATGGTTCCTCAAAAAATTAAAAGTTGAACTACCATATGATCCAGCAATTCCACTTCTGGGTCTATATCCAAAGGAAATGAAATCCATATGTTGAAGACACATATGCACCCCCACCCCATGTTCAATGCAGCATTATTTACAATAGCCAAGAAATGGCTATTGTGTCATCAACGGATGAATGAATAAAGAAAGTGTGTGGTACATATATATAATGGAATACTAGTCAACCTTAAAAAAGACAGAAATTCTGTCATTTTTGACAATATGGATGAACCCAGAGGGCATAATGCTAAGTGAAATAAGCCAGGCACAGAAAGACAAATAGTGCATGATCTCACTTATACATGGAATCTAAACAGTGTAGGTCATAGAAGTAGAGAGTAGAATGATGGTTACCAGGGGCTGAAGGGGGTTGGGGGAAGTGGGCAGAAGAGATATTGGTCAAAAGATACAAAATTTCAGTTAAACAGGAAGAAAAAAATTCAAGACACTATTGAACAATGTGGTGACTATAGTTAATAACCGTGTATTTATTCTTGTAAATTGCTAAGAGAGTAGATTTTCAATGGTCTCGCCACAAATAAATGATAAATTTGTGTGGTTATACATATTTATTTAGCTTGATTTAGCCATTCCACAACGTATATATATTTCAAAGCATCATGTTGCACAGGATAAATATATACGATTTTTTTGGTCAATTAAATAAATTTAATTGAAAACTACCCCCAAACCTTTTCCAGTTAGAATGACACCAGCTGAGTTTCCAGAGAATGTTCTCAGAAGACAAAGCCCCGCTCTGCTTTGCAACACTCCCAGCCCTGATACTGGGCAAAGGAGACAGGCAGAGATGCAGCAGCTGGCAATACATCCAGGCACATCAGGACACAGCCTAAGAGCTTTAGGCCAGGCGCAGTGGCTCATGCCTGTAATCCCAGTGCTTTGGGAGGCCTAGACGGGCGGACTACTTGAGCCCAGGAGTTCGAGACCAGCCTGAGCAACATGGCGAAACCCCATCTTTACAAAAAATAAAATTAGCCTCGACTTACCAGGCTCAAGCAATCCTCCTGCCTCAGCCTCCTGAGTAGCTGGGACTATAGAAGGATCGCTTGAGCCCGGGAGGTCAAGGCTCCAGTGATCCATGATTGTGCCACTGCACTCCAGCCTGGGCGATGGAGTGAGACTCTTTTTGTTTTGTTTTGTTTGTTTTTAAAAGACAAAAAAGCTTCAGACAAAATGTCTCTCTTGCTTGACATGAGCTATGTTGATTGTTTAAGAAGAACGTGACTGACAAAAGCTTATATCTCTAAATGTGGAAGTAACCATAGGAAAGGTTTTTAAAACCGAAGACCCCTCCCTCTCACTTGGTCAGCACCCGAAGAACTAGTTCCACCAAAAGAAGAGTGTTCGGAACTGTTAACTTACTTGGGAGAGTAGCAATGTCATTCTCTAATAAGTGAAATCATGAACTTTATGATATAGTCAGTTTCATGAAAACACATTTGAATAACTAAGTTTTGAACAGTATTCATCACCTGAAAAAGAAAATCAGGGCATTAACCCTCTTTTCTTCCTTTTATCTGAAGGCTATTTAAATTCTTAACTTTTATCCTCTATAGCATGGTGCTGTCCAAATGGTATGACCCTGATCCCTTATGTGTGAAAAACTTGTAAGCAGGCACCTACAATATATGCATTTATAAATTATAAGCATGTAACATTGTACGAATATATCATGTACACTATAAGATATATAATAAATAGAAATTTTAAAGTATGAGAAAGAAGTTTGGGGAATATGGTCTTTTTACAAAAGAGAAATGAGGCGGGGCATGGTGGCTCACACCCGTATTCCCAGCACTTTGGGAGGTCAAGGTAGGCAGATTGCTTGAACTCAGGAATTCAAGACCAGTCTGGGCAACATGGCAAAACCCCGTCTCTACCAAAAATACAAAAATTAGCTGGTCATGGTGGTGTGTGCCTGTAGTCCCAGCTACTTAGGACACTGAGGTGGGAGAATCGCTTGAACCCAGGAAGCAGAGGTTGCAGTGAGCCGAGATCATGCCACTGTACTCTAACCTAGGAGACAGAGTGAGACCTCATCTCAAAAGAAAAAAAAAAAAAAAAAAAATTAAAAAAAGAGAAATGAGAGAGAAACAACTTCAAGTCCAGCATGTCTTTTATGTTCCTTGTGATGAGAGAACAGAGAACTGCTGTGTGATCCAAGAGATTTTCTTAATCTCTCCTCAACACATAATAAAATAAAATAAATAATATACTATAGGTTGAAAGTCCTGTCTTTCTGGATTTGACATCTCTTCTCCAGCAGCCTTCTATGAGGAAGGCAGCCACCGTGACACCATCTGTGAAATCTAACTCAAAGCGTTGACTCTGTCCCCATCAGAGAGGTGCCACCCTATCATACAGAGCACGTTTTTTCCCCCATAAAACATGGTTAAAGCTTTTTACCATGTTTGAAAGTTGAAAGTATTTCTTCTCATGTAGATCTTTCCTTTGGTGGTTCACAAAAAAAAAAAAAAAAAATGTAGTTCTGTGGATAATTTCCTGCGGAAGCAAAATCTGGCCAGTATTCTGAGCTAAATCAGCTCAGAAACATCTGTACCTTCATCCAAATGTTTAACCAACCTCCCAAGGAGCATCTTCGTCTGTTCAGCAATGTTTTCTAGATGGCTCCCAAATCGATCTGCTACCAAAAGACACACACAGACCACCTTGTCCTCTGGGTATTAATTTGGCCATCTCCACCATGCCAGCGAGAATATCATTTCCCCAACTGCTGGTAGATTTTTCATCTTTAGCTCTCATACAGAAACCTCAGAAAGGTTTCTAAGCCTATTTTCTAGTAAAATTTGGTGACATATTGGGTTATCACGTGACCTCAAATAGCACACGTTCTGGATGGTAAGTGTCTTCCTAACAGTGACAACTCCACGTCATCAGATGTCAAGGTGCAACAGGCCCAGGGTAAAGATGGTCCTTTGTGACCGTGAACACTCAGTAAAATTTCAGATGGGCTTCCTGGCGATTCTGAATTTCTTCAGCTGACTCCCTGTTAGAGCTGGTCAGCACCCACCATTCTGAGTAAAAGCATGAGCTACTGTATGCAGACTCCATATCGTCTTGGATCCAATTTGCAGAATTCTTTTTAAGCCATTGTCCATTTGGAGAGAGACGATTTAAGGCACATACATTCCCTTGCCCAGGCACACAGAAACTGCTTGTGGCAAAAATGATGAAGGGGACAGGATGTCACAGTCCCACCATCCACCCTACGCTGTGGAAACTCCAAATGTACCTCACAGGTGACACCGGACACTTGGACTTTCTGACACTCTGACTGAGGGAAGGTGTCAGAGTCAGGCCAGGGAAGTCCATATATAGTACCATAGTTTAGAGACAAATGCCCGGGAGGCACTGCTACCTAAGTTTTATGACCAGAGAACCCTCCAATGCCCACAGCGTGGGGAACGCAAAGAGCTAAGAGGCAGCAGAACACCACCAAAAAAAGGCAACAGAGAAGCTGTTGAAGGGAAAAGAGGCTTGAATTCCTCCCAATTCTGCCCAGAGCTTAACTTGGTGGGAGAGTATTTGAAAAACATTGCAGGTAAAAGGCACTCCCTGAGAAGCAGGTTTAGCTATGACTTTATCCCACATTCAGAAAACTCAGCCTCACATTAGATTAAATTAGCAGCTCGGATCAAGTGTCAGTAACTGAGAAACACTTTGGGTGTAGGAGCTCTTTTTTCCACAGACAGCAGAGACGATTGCCTCTAGGGTCGCACTTACCCCTGACAAATAGCGCTCCAGTTTCTTGTTTAAGAGGAAGTAGATGGCCAGGATGTGGCAGGCGCGGTTGGAGAGCACGGTGTTGATCACGTCGCTGTTCTTGTAACCCAGCTTCTCGGTCATGTGCAGCACGACGCTAGGGCTCAGGTCTTCCAGAGAAATCCTGCCAGGCGCAGAGAGAGAGAGGACCAGTCACCCCTGCACTTCACAGAGAGTCCCACACAGACCCCCTGGGCAGAATCAGCTTCATTCATTCACTCATTCATTCATTGACTTGAGTTTTTATTTTGAAAATGTTCATGTATTCAGAAAAGTGGAGGAATAGTACAATCACTTTACGTATACCATCATCTGGATGTACCAGTGATCACTTTGCCATACTTGCATTTTTTTTTTTGCTGAGGTATTTTAAATTACAAACATCATGACATTTTACCCCTTAACCCTTCAGTATGTACCTTTAAAATCCAAAGATGTCCCCTGCAGAACCACAATACCATCAACATACCCAATAAAATTTTAATAATCACTTAATATCAGCTAATACCCCGATTATATTTAAATCTCCCAACTGTCCCCCAGATTTCCTTATGATCACACATTCTTTCCTTAAAATATATTTGTTGCCATGGACAGAGGCCACCCTGACTCTGGTTTTCAGAGTGGAAAAGGAAGGTATTCAGGAACTAGCTAGATCATGTTTAGAGGAACAGAAAGAGCTCATAAGTTCTTACATGGGGGGTCCAGGGCTCAGCTGCAAAGTGGGGTGCTCTCAGAGGAAGACAGTTAAAGCTACTTCACAGGGGTACTGTGACGATAAACTCCTTGGGACACATTGGCAAAGAAATACCAGGCTTCATTCATCTACCCATTCATTTGTTCACCCTCCCAGTGGGGAAGAGAGAATGTAAATTCACTTAGTCGTCCTGATAGTCCTATGAGTAGGTACTATCACTATCGCAACTTTACAGATAACGAAACCAAAGCCCACAGCAATGCAGTACCTTGCCCAGGGTCACAGAGACAGGAAGTGACAGCCCTAGAATTAAGAACCGGCAGCCGGGTTCAATGTCTAGATACTCACTGCTTCCCAAATAAACAGATACATCCATCATCATCATCATCATCACCATCATCCAATGGCTACAGAGACTCAGAAATCAGGGGGCGGGCTCTAAGGGAGTGTGTGTTGGTAGTGGGGCTGTGTCAAAAGAACATTCTACATCCCTTAAGAGTGATACAAAGCATGATGGCATTCTGAGCAAACTGTCGCAAGGACAGAAAACCAAACACCGCATTTCTCACTCATAGGTGGGAATTGAACAGTGAGAACCCCTGGACACAGGGTGGGGAACATCACACACCGGGGCCTGTCGTGGGGTGGGGGAAAGGGGGAGGGACAGCATTAGGTGATATACCCTAATGTAAATGACGAGTTAATGGGTGCAGCACACCAACATGGCACATGGATACATATGTAACAAATCTGCATGTTGTGCACATGTACCCTAGAGCTTAAAGTATAAAATAAATAAATAAATAATGTAATACAAAGAGGGCAATCAAAGTAGAAAGCAAGCTTATCTGGCTGGAGAGCTGCTAGCCTCCACGTCAAGGGGTCTGAAGACATTTTGGATGGAACCTCAGAGCTATAATGCCCAGAGAAACCCCACAGGGTAGCCCCATAATTGTAAAGAAGAGGAGACGATGCAAGTTCTCCTGTAGGAAGAGAACTTGCCCAGTTCACACGGCCGGCTGGCAGGGGCACCGAGAGCAGAACGCGGTCTCCTGACCATTGCCTGCCACCGGTTGATGTAACCTACATCAGTTCTCCCTCTGCTCCATTTGCCTAAGTGCCGTCCCAAAAAACAAACAAATGAAAACACACCCAACAAACAATGAGATCAGCCTTCCTCATTCCTGTGTGCCACGAAATTACACATTCCAGATAACAGGTGGGAGAGGGATGGGCATGATTACTGGTTTAAAAAGTGTATTAATAACACGTTCATTTTTTAAAATAACCACTTGAGGTCTACCAAAACAATCCAGAGCGAACAGTGGTTTGGAAATACCTGGGAACCCCAAGAGCAGGGCACCCCAGAGGGCATGGGGTATTCTGAAGAAAGGTCAGTAGTGTGGAAAGGAGGGGTATGCACAGGGGCAGACACCCCATCTCTGCCTTTTATGTCCAGTATCTTCAAAAACGAGCTCTGCCATAATGTAAATGGTCACACTGCCTCTGGACTGAGAGGAATAGTCTGAACGTTTTCCAATAAACAATGCATAAATCTGGTGTTCTCCAGTATCACTTATCGAATCTGTATATGGTTGCATGTTTGGATGACATAGAGAATGGTACAACGTTCCAGAATACTAGGTATTATCTGAATCGAGCAAATTTACATGCAATCTGTTTTGATACCATGGATCTAATTTGGTCTAATTCTGTCTTGTATTGCCTGTAACCTCCTCCCCTCCCACCAGTTCCAAAGCTAACTGGAGGGGTGGAGAGACTGTCCAGGTCCCTGCAGGGAGACAGAAAGAGGCAGCAAGGTTGGCTCTGTACAAATGTCTGAAACCCAGCACTTTAGGAGACCGAGGCATGGAGATTGCTTGGGACCAGGAGTTTAAGACCAGCCTGGGCAACACAGCAAAACCCCCATCTCTACCACAAAAAGAAAAACACTTAGCTGGGGATGGCAGCACATGCCTGCAGTCCCTCTACTATAGAAGCTAAGGTGGGAGGATTGCTCGAGCCCAGGAGTTCTAGGTCACAGTGAGCTGTGACTGCGCCACTGCACTCCAGCCTGGGCTACGAAGGAAGACCTGTCTCAAACAAAAAGAAAAAAAAGAAAAAAAAGGTCTGCACCTGAATCAGCAGGGGACCGGGCACCTAGCAAACATCTGTTGACTGACTGACACAAACATTTATTTATAAAAAATTTACTTCCAAAGACATTTTCCTCTTTGCTTTTAGAGATCAACTTGGCGGCTGAAATGACTTCACAGGAGAAGGCTTTACAGAAGAGTGATGTAAAATGTGAGATCTTTATTTTCCTTACTTTCTCAAAAGGAAACTATTGACAACACTTAAAATACATCTGAGGCTAGCTATGTTGGGAAACTACAAAATATACTTTATAAAGAAAATATCCCTTTCTCTGCTTGTATGTTCTCATTCCCTTTATCTACATGCCAGTAAAACCAGAAAAATACATAGAAAAAACACACTTTTTTGTCTTAAAGATAAAGGTTTTTCAAAATAAACACTGTAAACAACATGTACCTCCCCCAACAGCTTAGAATTCTGGTTCCAGGCCAGACACGGTGGTGGCTCACGCCTGTAATCCCAGGACTTCGGGAGGCTGTAGCAGGTGAATCACTTGAGGCCGGGAGTTTATGACCAGCCTGGGCAACATGGTGAAACCCCATCTCTACTAAAAATACAAAAATCAGCCACGTATGGTGGTGGATGTCTATAATCCCAGCTACTCAGGAGGCTAAGGCGGGAGAATCGCTTGATCCCAGGAGGCAGAGGTTGCAGTGAGCCGAGATTGTGCCACTGCACTCCAGCCTGGGCGAGAGATCGAGACTCTGTCCCAAAAAATAAACATAAAGAAGAAGAATTCTGGTTCCACTACTTAAAAACCAAACACTGATTTGCCTCTAGTGTGAAATGAGCAATGGGCCTCACATAAACAGAAGACACGGAGTGCTGTTTAGCACGTGAGATCTCAGCCCGTTTTACAGTCCACTGAACCAGCTTCATGTGCAGCCATCATGCTGCTGACCAAGTCCAAATGCAAAAACCATTACACTAATCTGGCAACAACAGGATAGGAGTTTGAATTTACGTTTTAATCTATCAAAGCCTGTCTGCAAACTGTGGGAAAGCCACAAACATGAGATGTCACCTCCTAATTCTTTGTGAATGAAGATGCAGCCAACAAGGAGGGGAAACACCGTCTTTCTCACACCAGCTCCACCTTCTCCAGCAGCTGCCGCATTGAGTGGATTGATTATGCTCATTTAGGCGGTGATTACATGAGCTTAATGACTCACGTGGCCACCACCAAGGCCCCCTCCTTTAACAGAAAGCGTACCTGCGTGCTGCTCTCCATCATGAGTATAGATAATGAGGCAAGGTCCTTTCAGCTTTGCTCCCTGCCTCGCTTTAGAGTAGTATTTCTGGTGTCTGTTTCAGATCCTGGCCCACATCGAGCTGTTATTGGAAAACAGCAATCTATTTCCAGGTTCCCTTGGTAACCTAAGTCACCTAGACTTTGTTTAAATTACCTCCCATGAGCCAAATGCTAGAATTCTAGATGGCAACAGAGTGAAACCACCTCCTCTCTGGGCACGGTGAGTGTAAATTTGGCACTGAAGTGTGGATGCAGACTCCCACGCCCCTTTAAAGTTTTTCTAGAGCTTCCATCCCAATCAGAGCCCTGCCTGGCCATCTTCTTTGAAGGACTCAGCACTTTAGCTTTCATAAGGCTTGGCGGGTGTTTCTAGACCTTTCTAGGCATTGAAACTATGACTACACAGGACACCCTTTTCTCTGCCCTTTCAGTCTCCCATCTGCCCCTCTGGGTCAGTGGTTCTCCTGCCTTCATCCAAGCCTGGTCAAATGTACAAGACACCCTAGCTCTAAAGGAAGAAGGAAGGTGGGTCCCAGTCTTGGAAGGTACTGAGCCCATGTGGTCTCCTTATTTGCATGAAAACAGCCAAATTAAGGGCCTTCATTCCCTTGCTCAGGTTAGTTAGAAACAGGACAAATGAGTAGAAAAAAATATACAAGGAAATGTTTTTGGCCGGGCGCAGTGGCTCAAGCCTATAATCCCAGCACCTTGAGAGGTGGGAGGATCGCTTGAGCCCAGGAGTTTAAGACCAGCCTGGGCAACATGGCAAAACCCTTTCTCTGCAGAAAAATAGAAAAAATTGCCTGACATGGTGACTCACGCCTATGGTCGCAGCTACTCAGGAGGCTGAGGTGGGAGAATCACTTGAGCTCAGGAGGTGGAGGCTGTAACGAGCTATGATCAGACCACTACACTCCAGCCTGGGTGACTGAGTGAGGCTCTGTCTCAAAAAAAAAAAGAGAAATGTTTTTGAATTTATAGTTAGCGTACCAACACAGAGGAGCATGGGCTGCCACAGGGAACCTGTCAGTGCTCCTATGCTGTGGGTTCCTGTCTGCAAACTTTGCTTAAAGAACCCTCCTCATGGAAACTGATAAAGTGGAGCCTTCACAGAAAGTCCACGGGGACACCCGGCCTAAAATGAGTGACTCCTATGCCTTTCCTTCCTGCCTCCCACATTTTAAAGCAGGGGTCTTAGGGCTGAAATAAACATCAAGAACAAGACAGAAGAAGGCATCTAAGGGTGGTTTGGAAAGGAAGGGGTGATCCCATGTGTTTCTGTCTGATGTTGGCAGGTGGGCTCGTGAGCTGATGACACACACGCAAACACATTCACACAAAGACTGGCTGGGCACGTTGGCTCACACATGAAATTCCAGCACTTTGGGAGACCGAGGCAGGCAGATGACTTGAGGTCAGGAGCTCAAGACCAGCCTGGGCAACATGGTAAAACCCCATCTCTACTAAAAATACAAAATTAGCCTGGTGTGGTGGCACGTGCCTATAATCCCAGCTCCTCAGGAGACTGGGGATGAGAATCACTTGAACCCAGGAGGCAGAGGTTGCAGTGAGCTGAGATTACACCACTGCACTCCAGCCTGGGTGACAGAGCCAGACTATGTATCAAAAAACAAAACAAAGACATACACACACACAAAAATTTACACACAGAAACAGACACACAACACATACACACAGACACAACAACCATGCACATGGAGACCCAAGCAGACATAGACAGTGTCTCTCTCTCTCACACACACACACACTCAAGCCACAGCTAGTCTCAAAGGTCCCTTTGTGTGAACTAGAAAGAGGCACCCCCTGGGAAGACGCAGACCCTCAAAGCCTGGATGTCAGCCTCCATTCACCCCTCCTCCAGGTGACCCTGCAGGGTACAGGGCACAACAGCACATGGTGGCCCTGTCTATGCTTCCTCTTGTGAATATGTGGGTGTGGGTGTTAGTGGGAAGGGGAGATAGCCAAGAGAGAACACGGCTTTTCCTTCAATCACGGACAGCTTTCTGTCGGGAACTGCTCGGGGCTCATAGGACAGGCCCCATCTCTCCCGAGGAGTCCCTCTGGGTGCACGAAATTACCTGTTGGGATAGGTGATATTACAGGGCACTTTGCCCGTGTAATTCTCATTGAGCCAGCGATTCGCCAGTGCCTGCTGAATATTTGGCCTCTTCACAGGATCCGGTTCCAGGAGAGAGCGCAGGAAACTGATGGCACCTGGGAGACATTCGGGAAAGAACGCGCGCATGTTACAGGCTGAACGCAGACACCGGTGAAAGCTACCATCACAGGGGACTCGCCACCTCGCCTGCCCATCCCGAGCCACTGCTGGGGTGATCTCTGGGTCTCTGGGCAGGGTTCTGATTCAAGGATTCATAGAGCTTGGTTTCAGCCCCACCTCCCTTCAGACAGGAGGGGTGTGAAAAATCCCGTTTCTCCCTCTCTCTCTCCTTAAAAAAGACACACCACATATCCAAAGAATTTAAGTTCTCTGTCCAAGGGGAGCAACTGGTGCATGATAAAGCAAGAACCAGTTTGGGTCTCCCCATTCCCTGTGTTTCCCAAGACAACCTGTGGCCTTTTCTTGTTGCGTATAGGTAAGCCAAAGGGATGTTCTATTGACAGGCTTGCAGGAACGAAAGAAAATAAACAGAAAATGCCTGCTCGCAAGGAAGGTTTTTGGGTACTCAGGGAGAAGCCAGCAGTGTACAGGCATCCTAAGTTAGACCTCCCAACTGGGGACCACAGGACACTCAGAGTCTCAAGAAGCCAGAGAGGTCCTGCTTTCTGATCCTTTCCTTTAAAGCCATTCTGTGTGGCCGCCCACCTCTTCTCCAAACTCGATGATGCCTCGCCCAGGCTGCACAGAGCCCACGCCCACCCAGCGCAGTCAATCAGGCTGTCAAGACACCAGAGCACCATGTGTTTTTGTTAAAGTGTTAGGAAACCTCTGCATTAGTGACCCAGACTTTAAAATCCTAGTTTGTGTAAAAAGTTCTAGTGAAAACCACACTGTGAACCCATGTCCGCCTGATGGGTGCCTCCTTTTGCACTGTCTCTTAGGGGACTCTTAGGGACTGCTTAGATGGACAGGACGCTAATATATTTTGTCTTTCTTTTTCAAGCCTCCTGAAGTTCACTGTATCACATTAGTCATGCTGAGCACAGTGTGTAAGGAAAAGATACGAGAAACTGTTGAAAACCTATAAAATCCCTACAACCCCTTTTCCTTCCATCCCAGGGAAAAATAATGTTTTGTTGTTGTTGTTGTTGTTGTGTTTTTGAGATGGAGTCTCGCTCTGTCACCCAGGCTGCCTCACGGGTTCAAGCAATTCTCTGCGTCAGCCTCCTGAGTAGCTGGGATTACAGGCACCCGCCACCACGTCGGGCTAATTTTTGTATTTTTAGGAGAGACGGGGTTTCACCATCTTGGCCAGGCTGGTCTTGAACTCCTGACCGCGTGATCCACCCGCCTTGGCCTCCCAAAGTGCTAGGATTATAGGTGTGAGCCACTGCGCCTGGCCAAAAATAATGTTTTAAATGCCCTGGGTTTCCTTTCATTTCACAAATATTTACAGAGCACTTGTTGTCCATTCAAGCACTAGAGATAAGCTAATTCGTCTCTAAGCAGAATATTTGCATCCTTTAAGATTATAACAATGGACACAACTGTATGAGAGGTAAAAATGCGTTTATAATGCACATGAAGCCTTTTATTTTGTATTTATTTTATTCATTACTTTTTATATTTTGGAGAGACTCACACTGTCGCCCAGGCTGGAGTGCAGAGGTGCGATCATGGCTCGCTGCAGCCTTGATCTCTCTGGCTCAGGTGACATTCCCACCTCAGCCTTCCAAGTAGGTGAGACTACAGGCATGCACCATCACGCCCGGATAATTTTTTTATTTTTTTTGGTAGAGATGGGGTTTGCCAAGTTGCCCAGGCTGATCTCAAACCCCTGAGCTCAAGCGATCCTCCTGCCTCAGCCTCCCAAAGTGTTGGGATTAAGTGTGTGAGCCACCACACCCAGCCCATGAAGGCTCTTCTAAGGCTACCAAATTGTTCAGCAGGAGAATATACAGCATACCCACATATGGGCAAAGAATGTCAGGGATGACTTCAAAATGCAGATGGTTTGTCTTGCTTGATTTGTGGGACTGTGATATTTTCTTATGCTATAGCCCTTATTTTACAAAGTATTGCTATAATGTTCTTGCAATATAAAGAATTCTTTTATGTAGTTTTGTACTTGATTTCCAACATACCAAATAATAGACCCCAGAAAATAATAATGTGCTTGCTCCCCCAATTTTTCCATCTTTCTCTTCAAAGTTATTTTTTCAGTGTTCTAAGGTAATCTTTTTTGCAAGGAGAAGTCATAAAACGTCTTACTTTCTCAAAAGTTTTAAGTTGTCATTTTAACATTGTTCTTGAGGAAATGCTGAGCCTTTTTTCAACCCATTTTCTGCAGGGTAAAAATTAGGCCATCAAAAAAGGGGCCAGTTGTGATGCCAGAATCAACTCAAGAGAAATAATCTTTGCTAGGTCATGCAGCCAGGTCAACCTTCATGGTCAACCCACCACCAGGGTAGGTTCCCATCCTGTTGAAGAGGTTACCAGGCCATCTCCCTTTCAATAGTGGGTAGTCTCTACTGGATATCTATCCAAAGGAAAATAGGTCATTACATGAAAAAGACACTTGCACACATGTTTATAGCAGCACAATTCACAACTGCAAAAATATGGAACCAGCCCAAATGCCCACCAACTAACAAGTGGATAAAGAAAATGTGACATATGGCCAGGCACGGTGGCTCACGCCTGTAATCCCAGCACTTTGGGAGGCCAAGACGGGCGGATCACGAGGTCAGGAGATCGAGACCATCCTGGGTAACACGGTGAAACCCCGTCTCTACTAAAAATACAGAAAATTAGCTGGGCGTGGTGGCAGACACCTGTAGTCCCAGCTGCTGAGGAGGCTGAGGCAGGAGAACGGCATGAACCCGGGACGCAGATTGCAGTGAGCCAAGATTGCGCCACTGCACTCCAGCCTGGGTGACACAGTGAGACTCTATCTCAAAAAAAAAAAAGAAAATGTGACTATATATCTGATATATATATGTCATATACATGTCATATTTATGTCATATATGTCATATATATACACACACACACACACACCAAGGAATACTACTCAGTCATAAAAAGGAACAAAGTAATGGCATTTGCAGCAACCTGGATGGAGTTGAGATCATTATTCTAAGTGAAGTAACCCAGGAATGGAAAATCAAACATTGTATGTTCTCACTTATAAGTGGGAACCAAGCTATGAAGGTGCAAAGGCATAAGAATGACACAATGGACTTAGGGGACTTGGAGGGAAGGGTAGGAGGGGCAAGGGATAATAGACTACACATTGGGTACAGTGTACACTGCTCAGGTGATGGATGCACCAAAATCTCAGAAATCACCACTAAGGAACTTATCCATGTAACCAAAAACCACCTGTTCCCCAAAAACGTACTGAAATTTTGAAAAAAGGAAATATTGCCAGGAGCGGAGGCTCACGACTATAATCCCAGCACTTTGGGAGGCTGAAGTGAGTCGATCACCTGAGGTCAGGAGTTCAAGACCAGCCTGACCAACATGGAGAAACCCCACCTCTACTAAAAATACAAAAATTAGCCGGGCATGATGGTGCGCACCCGTAATCCCAGCTACTTGGGAGGCTGAGGTGGTAGAATTGCTTGAACCCAGGGGGCAGAGGTTGCAGTGAGCTGAGATCATGCCATTGCACTCCAGCCTGGGCAGCACAGAGAGACTCTGTCTCAAAATTAAAAAAAAAAAACAAAACAGTGGGGTGGGTAGAAATGCATGCGTGGAGACCATGAGGTACATTTACCACTGTAAGTGTTATCGCTGGATACCCAGCTAAAACTCAAAAAAAAAAAAATTGTTTTTAACTTTTACTTTAGGTTCGGGGGTACATGTGCAGGTTTGTTATACAGGCAAACTCGTGTCATGGGAGTTTGTTGTACAGATTATTTCATCACCCAGGTACTAATCCTGGTACCCAATAGTTATTTTTTCTGTTCTTCTCTCTCCTTCCACCCTCCACCCTCAAGTAGACCCCAGTGTCTATTGTTCCCCTCTTGGTGTCCATGGTGTCCTCTTGGTTATACTTAGCTCCCACTTATAAGTGAGAACATGCAGTATTTGGTTTTCTGTTCCTGTGTTAGTTTGCTAAGGATAATGGCCTCCAGCTTCATCCATGTTCTTTAATAACCCGAAAATCAAACAGATCTCTGCTTTGCAGAATGTCTATCTCGCTTCCCTTAACATCCCTGCATTGCAAGAATCACTTAGATCTTAACTGGGGGCATCTATTGGTCAGATAAAGAAGATGGGGGCTTAATGAATCAGAGCGGGTGGGCTGTTGAGTTAATGTTTTCTGAGACATTGCTGTTGCTTACCCTCAAAGGACTTGGGCAACAACCCAGGGTTGCCTCAAAGGACTTGGGCAACAGTCCAGGCTTTTTCAAAGTATGATGAACCAGAAGTGCTAAGGACAAACTGGATGTGCATTTTTGTTCTATTTTCATAACCGAGCACTCTGCATCCTCAAAAACTGCTGATGAGCGCAAGTAATTTTAGTTCAAATCTCCACTGACGAATTTTCTTCCTTTGGACGTCACAGACATTGCGTTACTATCCAAAAAGGACTTTGAGAATATCCTTAGAGCTCTTTGAAGTTTGTTCTAGGGTCCTGAAAACCCCTATGCCTTATGAGCAAGAGAGATTAAAATATTCCTCACCATCCTGGAAAGCCATGCCAGGCATGGCCACAGGCCACACGCCGCCCTCCACCTCTCTGAGATAACACTGAGGTTCTCCACTCAAGCCTGGAAAAATAGTACCACCCTGCTCAACGTAACACGCAGCACACCTTCCTCCATCGCAAACCCCACTTTCTTTCACGAGTCCTTAGCTTTCCAAAGTCTGGACTGGCTTGTGTGAGCACCTAAACACGGTACCAAGTGAAACAAACGGCTGCAGGTGACAGGCAAAGTCATCAGACTTTTCACATTAGCGTAGCCAGATAGATGCAAATAGACACTCCTCCGCGCTCAAAGCTCCCTCCTCATCACTCCCCAAGCTAAAGAACTGTTTGATCATCGGATCATCGTGCCTTCTTGGACATCGTCATTAGCACTGG